AACATAGTTATATGAATACTGTATGACATATTTTTGTATAGGTCATCTTGGATATGACCTAGGAACTTAGCTTGCCTCACCCTAGTCCTGGCCCTGTATTAAACACACAATATATTTAAATATTTCCAGATGTATTATGAACATTTTAAAAGATAAAATTAGATTTTGATTGTATGATTAAAATCTAGGCTCTAAAAAATGAGTTTTTTTTTTTAAAAAAAGCACTGTCCATTTTCTAAGATGTTTTATGAATCAAAATATAAAACAGAAAACCCTGAAGTTGTCATCAGAAGAGCAGAACATCATAACTTAAAGGCAACAAGGGATTATTCTTTAAGTGGAAGTTTGAACAAGTAGATGTGTTTGAAACCAGAGTTTCTGGAAAGTTGATTTTGGAGCCAAAGTTGGTATTTGTTAAGCCCATGTTCTTTTTACTTAGGATAGAAAAACATATTTTATGTAAAAACATTAACAATATTTGCTATAACCTATTTGTTTTTTAGTGGGGAAAAAAGAATTTTCATAATTATAATGCATTATTTTATAATACTGAATGTTATATTGGGCAATTTTTTTTTAAATTTATGAACTTTGAGGGGCATTTTAGCAATAGAGTAGCATACTCTTGCTTGCTATTTGCAAGTTTTCTGTATCTGATTACTAACAAAGATCCATCTATTGAAACTACATTTTTATTCCAGAAGCACATAATTGGCAGTAGCTTGCAGTTGATAAAATATAAATTCTCTGATCTGGAATTCACTAAGAAAGGAGAACATTTTTTTTACTATTGCCAAACTCAGCTTTTTTTGTCATTTACAATTGAAGTTCATGTTGCTTTCCTATAGCATTATCTGGGTGACAGATCAACAGTCACCAGACAGATCAACAGTCAGTCACATTAATTATAAAGTAAGTTCTTGAAAAAAATTATGAAAGTAAGTTTTTACATTTAATGCTTATGAATTTTACCCACAGGCCCACATTCTTATTTATAGGCATTCTACAAGTGACAGCCATTGCACAGTAGTTTGTTTAGAAGTAAGAAGTCTGGAATTCAAATACAGAAATTTTTAATGTGTTCTCTTGACAAGTTTGTTTTTTTTCAAGGAAAAATTGTAGGATTTATAATACTTACTTTAAAAAGGAAGACAACCAAGGTTCACGTCTGAGTATTTCAACCTAAATCCCCAAATCGAGTATATTTAGATTTCTACTAAATATGAAGATATCCAAAATGTTTTCATGATGCACTGAAAGTTTATCAAGTAGTAAGACTGTGATTTGTGCAAGTAGAATACTGCTTATTTTGGTGATCTCTATATGCATAGATAGTGAAGGCATGAGCAACAGCATTTAAAATGAATGCACTGTGAACATCTTTTGTAAATCTGTGGAGGCAAACATATAGGAATCTGGCATAGAGTAGATGCTCAATGTGATTGTTGACTGTATTTATTTAGCATACCTTTAGGTGATACTTACTATATTAAATCTTTATATCAATGCTATAATTTCCCTCTATTTACAGATGAGGAAGCTGAAGTCATGGAGAGATTAAATAATTTGTCCCACAGCTGGAATTGAATTCATCTGGCTAACAAGTCAGTTTTATTAAATCACCCTAAGAGGCTGGCTGTGTGGGATAAAATGATGAGCAACATGCATGAAACAATTATTTTAATTAACATCAGTATCTGATGCTAATAAAAATAATGGTTTTCACTTGGTTAGCAATTATTTATTGAGTACCTAGTGCATGGTAGGCACTATACTAGTACTGAGACTATATAGTGTACAAAATAGGCAAATATTCGACTTCATAGAGCCTGTCTTCACTGAAAATTCTGTAAGGTTATTCATATCAAACTGCTCTTATTTTAATCTTTTTAAGGGCTGACACTGCATCTTTTATCTCTGCAATCCTGACTTCTGGGTCAGTTTATGGTAGATATTAAAGAATGCATGAATAAAAGAAAGTGAATGAAGGAAAACCTACAGTGTTTCTTTTTGTTTCTTATTTGAAGCTGTTTCCTGAAGAATAAAATACAATCATATAGAGAACATTTCATTCTGTAGAAATTTGGAAATTACAATTAAGTTTTCAAATTTTAAGTAAAGGGAAATAATGGGAAATAGTAATGTTATTTAAAAGGGAAGAAAATGTAGTACAACATTTCAAGCATTTATATATAAAGTGTTTTATGTGATGGGCAGTGGCTAATTAAGATTTTCAGATTGATGGGTAAATGAAAACTCTCTTAGTCTCTTCTTTGTAACTAAATTGTGATCACAATTATAGAGCACATAAATAAAAAATATCTAAGTTTCCTAAACTTCACAAATAGGGGTAGGTACATACAATGGCATATATCTTTCAAATAGCACATAAACTTGAAACTTCAGGGAAAAAATGCATTACAATCATTTTGTTATCAAAATATGAAAAATAATTTTTACTTTATTGGTTTATCCTCAGTATATGTTACTTAGTTATGTAGCTCTTGACCTAATTGGAATCAAAATGAGGTGGTTCTACTTCAAGAATTTGAAATAATCCCTTCACTTTAACACATGAATGTGTTCAATATTGGCGAAAGGACACGTTGCTACCAAAACTGAAACAGGATCCTTGAAACAGAAAGGATGTTGCCATGGAAAAACGAAGTAACACTCAGTGCAGCTGTGATGCATTAATGAATAGGATATTTTTTTAAAAGATCATTTGTGTTTGGTGTGGCTCAGAGGGTCCCAACCAGATGGTTTCCATGAACATGATCTGACCCCCAGCTTGAGGACTTCTTACTGGCAGATTACTTCATTTTCTTTCCCTTGGATTGTCAGATCCTTACATTAATGCAAAATTTACTGCTGCAGATTTATATTCAGTAATATAAATCATTCAACATTTTACATCAAAACCACAATTTTATACATACAGTTTAACAGTTATTTTAAAAGTGTAAAAAGATTTATGTGATAGCTTTAGTATATATAGTAGTTGTAACATTATAAAAATTTTGAGCAATTTGGATTATATGTATGTTTTGGTTCTTATCATTAAAGGAATTCTCACAACATATGTTTTAGAAAATGTATCTTTTTGAGTTGTATATCTAATGCTAATATACTGTTGATTCTGTATGCATTGCCAAAATTATTTAAATTAGATAAAATAGTATATATTTGAGTTAGCGAAATTTTTATATGTGTTGTGATTTTGAAAATTTTGGCACAATTTGCATTTTTTCTAAAGATATGTATGTATATAGTTGTGTATGGTGGCATATTAAATTGAATGCCTCACATTGTTGAAATCATCTTTCAACAGCATCAATACCTACATGAAGTGTTAAATACTGATACTTCATATTTTGACCTTTTAACCTGAACTATTAAGGGAGAACATGTTCTTAATTTTGCCTTTTTAAATTATGCAGTTGGACATCACTCATGAATTATGTTAAGGATTTAAAAACATAATCATAATACTTCTGAGACAATATAGACTTACTCTGTTTCAGAATAAATAAAATACGTTGTGATCTTAAATCAATAAACTACTGAAAACATATATACTTAAATTATCTATGCTGCAGGATAAATATAGAACTGAAAAAAATGAGCTCATACTTCATGAACCAGTGTACTTATTTTTGCAAAATTTTGTTTACATTGTTCTTCATTCAATTCACCAGTTTGACTCTGTTCAGAAATGTGATGCAGAGATGAACAGGTTTGTTTATTTATAGGTTGGCAAATTATTTATCAAGGAATTCCAAACCTGTTACATATCATTATGCTCTCACTGAGTAATATATTGGCCACAAGAGAAAAGATGTTACTGTATCTTGATACTGTATGCTATATACTTTATCTTTTATAAAATATAGTCTCTTTACTAATATAATTTCCTAGAATGTCCAAGAATTTATTTTGCAAAAAAATTTGTATATCACACCTTCTGATAACACCTTTGCATGCCAAATATTTTATAGAAAACCAACAAATCACAGTGTATATTTTCTTAATAAATAATTCAAGTATGCTGAACTATTGGGACAATTTAATAACCAGATACAGAATATTACCTTGTAAGAGTCAACTAAGACTCAAATGAACATTGCTTCTGAATTAAGAAGTCATGATAAGTGTAGTTTAGGATATGAACTTACTTAGTTTATCTTTATTCTCTAAGAACCTGGCAACTAAGGTGACTATACTGAGCATAAGGGAACATACAAAATTTACATGAAATCACAATGTGCATAACTTAAAGAATGACAAAAACAAGGGATAATGCTTTGATTTTTAAGTCTTCTGATTTTACTTATTATCATGTGTCTGCTTACATATAATAAATGTGACATATGTATGCATACTTGAGTCATTGTATATAAAACAGAAAGTGATATGTGTTCTTAAATTACTGTCTGGTGCCACAAATTGAATGTCTTAAGCATTTTTTTCTTAAATTTTAGTCTGTGAAATAAAAATGGAAGGGCCAGAGTTACATAGAAATAGCCTTTAAAAAAATAAAAGTGGGCAACCCTTTGGGTCCTCTCCCACTTTGGGAGCTTTTCTGTCCTCTCAATAAATACTGCTTTCTAATAAATAAATGGATGGATGTAATAAAATGCTAATCAGTTCTAAGACCTTATCTGGTGTTAAAAAAAATTTAATGGACTGCAAAAGAAGGAATATCTGCCTTTTTGCCAGCACACTTTCTATCTCAGTCATGTTTCATGGAAGGAACTGTGGAAGGGCAGATACATTTTCATCTCATGTCACTGGGCACCTTTGATCAAGTCTATAGCAAGAAAACAATACATTTTCAAAATTTTTTTGTTGTTGTTCCTTAGGAAAAGTAACTTATAAAGACATAAATATGGGACTTTTTTTTTTTTTTTTTGGTTTTTTTATTCTAGTAAAGATAGTAGGTGTTGGAAGGCATGTTTAGTCTGATACAGACATTTTAATTCTGCTTTTTTTTTTTCCAGCTTGAGTTACAATCTTGTTGTGTGTTCATTCCAAATGATAGTCTGCCTTCCCCAAGTACAATTGTATCTGGTGACATTCCTGGAACAGTAAGAAGTTGGTACCATGGGCAAACCAGCATGCCAGGAACACTTGTTCTCTGTTTACCTCAAATAAAGATTATTAGTGCTGGTCACAAGTATATGGAACCTCTGCAGGATATTCCATTTGTCATCCCACGACCCATCCTTGAAGAAGGTATATTTCAAATAATTCTTCCTGTGGTTAATATTGATATTTATACGGATATTTTTAGGTTTGTTGGTGTTTTTAAATATATTAGTGTATATGTAAATCAGTCTTCTCATTGACTGATTTTCATGGCCAAAGTAAATGTGCTAAGTGATATCATTTATTGCCATCTCTACCTTTTAATTTTAGTCATATATTTTTATATGTAAATGTAAATTGTCTACAAAAGATCTATGCAGTATAACATAACCACTAAAATGTAAATATAGGAAAATTTGGTTTGGGAAGAAAGTGGCTTTTGGATGTCGCCATTAGGCTGAACTGGGAATAATAACTAAGTTGATCTTAATTCAAGCCACTTGACTTATGAATGAATATAATTATATATAAAAATTGAGTGAATATATTATTTTATGAAGCATAATATATTTCTAGATTTCTAATTTGTTTACACAAAGTAAATAATTATCAGATGAATAGAGTCATAATTCTTTCTCCAGTACATACTTGATTTCTTATATTACTGTGTTTTTAGTTGTAAATTCATACCCTTTTGAACTTTGACATATTTATTTAAAACAGTATGTGAACCTGGAAAAGTTTTGAGTCACAAAGTAAATAATGTGAATATATATTTTAATAACAAGGCTCAAATTTTTGACAGTGCTAAACAGGTCAACACCTTGTTCATATTATTAGGATGTAAGTATTTGAATCCTGATATCATTCAGATTATGACATATACTGTCACTGAAAAGCAGACATAGCCTGTGTATGTTCTGACTTCTACTTTGATGTTTATTTTTCTCTCCCTTTATACTGAAATTTCCATCGAAATCTATCTTTCTTAGACATAATAGACGTAAACATGACTTTACTGCCAGACATTGTTGGTTCCTTAATAATAGGAATACCATTATAATAAAATAATAGAATTGTAGAATTCTAAGAGTTAGAGGGAACTTTTTTTAGAGTTCTTGTGTAATCTTTATCTTGATGTAAGGATCATTTCTCTAGCATCTTCAACATGAATTATTTATTTGTTACTTAATTTTGGTTATTGGTTTATGGACATCTAATAAAACATATAGAAAATCTCACAGCACTTAATATACAGCTTGATATATTTTTGTCAAATAAACCCATACATGTTACCAGCACCTGAATTGAGAACAAGAATATTCTAAGCTACCAGAAGTCTTCTCTAGCCTCTTACCAGTCACAATTTCTTCAGAGGCAAATTGTATCTTGACATTTAAAATCCCAAATTAGTTTTTCTGTTTTTGAACTTGACAGCTCAAAGTAAAATTTAAAATTTTACTTATGGTATTCTTTTCATCTTGATTATTTTTAAAAGGTATTTTAATTTATATTTTTAGTGCTTCCTTTATTTGTACATGAAACATTTCTTTTAGGCTAGGCACAGTGGCTCATGCCTGTAATTCCAGCACTTTGGGAAGCAGAAAAATAGGATCACTTGAGCCCAGGAGTTCAAGACCAGCCTGGGCAACATAGTGAGACCTCATCTCTATAAAAAAATAAAAATAAATAAAATTGACATGATGTGGTGGCATACTCCTATAGTCCAGCTACTTGGGAAACTGGCACAGGAAGATCACTTGAGCCCAGAAGTTGGAGGCTACAGTGAGCTGTGATCCTGTCACTGCCCTCAGCCTAGGTGAAAGCATGAGACCTTGACTCAGAAAAGGAAATATTTCTTTTATATTATTGTCTAATTTCTGCTGACTCTTGCCTACCCTACCTGGTATCTCTTGTGTATTTTTTTATTTATTCTTTTATTTTCTGTTCTTATTTTTCTTTAAATTTTTCTATAGAAATTTGTTGAAAACCAGCCTGAGAATTTCTTCTATGCAGATTTGAATTGACTACTTTTTTCTCTTTTCTTTTTTTTAACTTTTAATTTTAAATTATGTGGGGTACAATTCAGGGTTAGATATACAAATGTTCATTATGCAGGTACCCTTGTTGATGAGGTATGCTCCCCCTCCCCTGGCAGCTTCTCACTACTGCCAATCCCATCCCTGCCCTCCCCTGGCAGTTTCCCACTGACAATCCCTTTCTTAGAGTATTGCAATAGTTATTCAAGGTTTGCTTATGAATGAGAACATGTGATACTTGGATCTTTGTTTCTGTGATAGATCACGTAGTATTATAGCCTCTAAGTTCGTCCATGTTGCTGTGATGTTCGTAATTTTGTCTTTCTTTATGGCTGTGTATTAGTTCATCATATATATGTACCAAAATTTTTTTATCCAGTCCTCTTTTGATAGGCAGCACGGTTGGTTCCATGTTTTTGCTATTGTGAATAATACTACAATAAATATGAATGTGCAGTTATCTTTTCATAGAGTGATTTGAGTTCCTCTGGGCCTATTCGCAGTAGGAGGATTGCGGGGAGGTCGATTTTTAGATCTTTTAGGAATTGCTATGCTGTTTTCCACAGAGGCTATACTAGTTTACACTCCCACCAGTAATGTAGAAATGTTCCCTTTTCACCAAATCCTTTCCATCATCTGTTGTTTTTGAGTAATTTTATGAAGCTAACATCACATTGATAAAGTCCAAACTGGGGAAAGATCCAACAAAGAAAGAATTACAGGCCAGTATCCTTAATGAGCATAGATGCTAAAATTCTCAACAAGATTCTAGCAAACCAGATCCAACAACACATCTGAAAAATCATCCACCATGACCAAGTAGGCTTCATCCCTGGGATGCAGGGTTGGTTCAACATCCACAAGACCATAAATATAATTAAATACATCAGCAGATATAAAAAAAATGATTATATCATTATATGCTGAAAAAACTTTTGATAAAATCCACCCCTTCTTGATAAAAACCCTCAAACATCTATGCATAAATGGAACATACCTCAAAATAGTAAGAGCCATCTATGAGAAACTCACTGCCAGCATATTGCTTAACAGTCAGAAATTGGAACCATTTCACCTGAAAATTGGAACAAGACAAGGATGCCCACTCTCACCCCTCCTGTTCAACAAAGTTTTGGAAGTTCTAGCCAGAGCAATCAGACAAGAGAAGGAGATCAGGGGTATCCAAATAGGAAAACAGGAAGTCAAGTTATCCCTCTTTGTAGCTGACATGATTTTGTACCCAAGAGAATCTGTCAAAAACCTCCTTGCACTGATAAAGGACTTTGGCAAAGTTCCAGGGTATAAAATAAATGTGCAAAAGTCAGTCGTGTTCCTATACACCAACAATAAATAAATGAAACCCAAATACAAACACAATCCCATTCACAGTAGCCACAAAAAAAAGAAAAGAAAAGAAAAGAAATACCTTGGCATCTTCCTAACCAGAGAAGTGAGTTTACTTGATATGTGGGCAGTACCAGGTCAGGACCACTTGAAACTCAATTCTCGATTAGAGGTTTTTATGCCACTTAGATACAACCTCTTATGAGAGTTGTGAGATTCCCCCCTCCCCCGTCCCATTCAAGGTTCATTTTCTGGTAGCATTTGTGAGAGGGTCATATAAAGAAGGGAAGAACAGGGCAATTTTATTTCCAATTTACCCTAATATAAATGTTATAGCCATTTGCATACCAGCTTTATGTTCTTCTATTAGTTTTTACACTGCAGGTCAGCTTTGGGCTTTATCTCCAGTCAGCCTTAAGTTGACTTAAGTTTGGTTGTGAACACAGATGCTCAGTTTTACCAGCTTTAAAGTGCCTGAAGTCATTTACTTTGCTTCCCTCAGTCCCTAGCCTTAATAATTCTTACTATTTTTGGAAATTCATTATTGAGTTTAGACAGATATCATTTATGTATATGTATCTGTGTATCATGTGTGTAAAACAAACTGTATATATTTTATTCATAGTATGTCATATGTAAGTATTTTCTAAATATAGAATGTTTATTATTTTAATAATGAACTTAATCTGCCACATTGCTGTAAATAGAATTTCTCATTGATTTTTTAAAGATGTTGTGACAGTATTATTCTGTATTTTCTTTTCTAATGGATTGTGTAAAAAGACTGATACATACTACCCACCATTCTTTCTGTCTTTAATATTCATTCAAATTCTCTCTTATTTTTTACAAACCTCCCACCAACTTCTACTGCTTGCCCTTTTCATACAATAAGTTGTTTTATTCTTGTCTTGTTTTATAAATACATTGAGAATGACTTATGAACTACAGAAGTCTCCATCTTTATAACGTAAGTTGTTATTATAATTCTCTGGTTTTTTCCCTAGAACTGAGTTAGACAGCAACTTAGTTTATTTTGAACTTAAAAAAAAAAATCATATACCAGATGGAGAAGGTTTGAGTCAAATAGAAACTTCCAAAGTTGATTTTTCATACTCCCTCAGAGAATATAGAGTGACTATATAATCAACATTGAAACAAAGTAGAAACAACTTTTTAACCATATGGTTATTCTAAACCTACCCTAAAGAAAAGAGATTATTTCAAGATATTTAAATCCTATTTAAGTCTTTTTTAAAAACTACAGATATTAATTTCTATGAATAACTAAAAATTTATCTTTTTTTCATTTAAAAGAGTGTTTATAAAAAATATTTGGGTATAACCCTTTGATGCAGACCAGTAAAGAGTTATTTACTCTTCATATCATATGTGTACATAGATAAAGAATCTGAAGATAAGTATACTCATTTACCAACTTTCAAGTAGCCCTTTTGGCTTCAGTGCCATTCCTGCATTCTCTTTTCAAACATTCTTGTGTTTTGGAACTGACGTCATAAATTAGACTGCGCTTTCATAGCTTATTCCTCTGGTCCTCAGTCATTTGCTATTTACCTGTGCACATCATATTTTTACAAAATTTGTGATAAGTCTTATCTGCTGTCATATCCTCTCTTGTTCTAATAGTCTTTTTTGATTTCTAATGCTTTTCCCACCTATCATTCTGCTGGTTTTAGAATGTAGATAAATATTTTCGATCATTTGTGTTCAACTAGATATGGAATATCAAAATTTATGCCACAT